GGAAAACACGCACGTCGTCACCTGCCGTATTTTGCGTACCTGTGTGATTGCATCATGAGGGAGGGTGTCGACGTGCGTGTTTTCCTGGGTGGGGTCCTGGCGTGGGTTTCGACCCCCTGGTTGGAGTCTTTGCCGTCTGGTTTTCTTCAGTTCCGTCGTCGTTTACCATGGCCCGGGGCGTGTGCAATGATGGTGGCGGTGCTGGTGCTGCTGCTGGTGCTGCTGGCAGCAGGGACACTCGCGGCGCCGATGCTGGCAGTGGTGTAGGTGGTGTTGCCGCGTCGGTCAATCCTAGCACCTCCGACACAATTAGGATGTCGTTGTAGAACTCGCGGAAGAGCGTCGGGTTCTTGTTGACTTGACTTTCTGGCCTTGCATGCATCAAATCCGAGCGGTTTTGAGGAGCGGCAGAACTCCACAGCTTGACCACCGCATCCTCGATCCTGTTCCTCCCGTGCGATGCTTGTTGCTGCGCGATCAGGCATAGCTGCGCGAGGTGGAAAATAAACATCAGCCCGAAGCAGATAAACGCGGCATGCAGGAAAGCCGCGAGCGAAGCCAAAAAGAGTGGGTTTGGCGAACACGTCGATGCTTTCTTGAAGGCCTTCAGTTTCGAGAATTGTGTGTTTGCGACAAGGAGTTTTCGGCGTAAAGGAAAGCGTATCTCCACGACCTGTGGTCTCAGCTTTTGGCGGTCACGCAGAGTCCAAATTGCAAAATACCCCCATACCGGGCGTGAACTCTCCAAGCATACAACTCTCCGAAACAATTTTGTACGCACATCGTCACCCTCCCTTATTCTGCAAAAAAGCAGGTACGCATAATATTTGTGAGGACTCCGTGAAACTCAAGCATGCGGACGATGGGAACATTTCACCCTCGCATCCCTCACACAACAACAAACAACGATATCTTCAAACCCTAGAAAGCGCCTCTCCTGCGACTATCCCTGTAGTGCCCCCAGCGGCAACGCTGCACAGCGCCGCCACCTTCCACGGAGAGAGTCGGTGTTCCGGATTCCATCACCAACCCCACCTTCAGCAGGGGATTCCACAGGGCGCACCATGACGCCTTCCACGCCCGGCGTACTGCTGCTCTCTCCTCCAGCAGTGCTTGATGTTTCCTGGTGCCGCCCTCCCTGACGACCACCGCGGGATGCAGCGCTTGGTTGCTGCTCGGGAGAAACACACATCAATTCCTGCGGCGCCCTCTTCCTGCGCCGCCGACCCCGCCTGGCCTTGCCCTTCCGACTCGGTCCGCAGGGGCGATGGCAGCGTGCCCATCATCTCGTGCGTCCCTGGCTCTCGTCTCCACCCCCTGGTCTAAACCTGCGCGTCGTGTCACTCAGTAAATAAGGTGCTTGCCACTGGACACACACATACCACCCCGGATGCTGCGTCACCATACACAGCTGAACTCGGAAGACCTCGGGCGCCTCCGGAGCACATATTCTAGAGTTTGTTGTGCCCATCCACGTTGTGTGAGCTCCCGAGTCCAAGAGTGTTGGTACCGCATGTATTAGATCGCAGGGGCGACATGAGAGGGGAAGAGGAGGAGAAAGGAGGAGAAAGGAGGAGAAAGGAGGAGAAAGGAGGCCAAAACCAGTTAGTCTATTACCGTAAACTACGGAGTTTTCCCCCCGCGGAGGGGATCGTGTTCTTTTCTGAAACCACCTCCCCCCTGGGGGGGGGGAGGAACTTGACGTACCGCGGGGGGTTAGTGTTTTTTTTCTCCAACGCTACTACGAGTGGCGGGGAACTCGGTAGTTTACGGTATATTAGTCGCAAGGGGGGGGGGCGCAACTCGTATCTCAAAGTATCTCGTACCACGTCTCCCAACGCCATTCCCATCATCTGCCTATGGTGACCTACAGATGCATGTATCAAACATATCGAAGCCGAAATCAAACCATTAGTTGTGGGTTCGAGACCCAGGTTGGACCAAGCTGGACACTTTGAAATGCGTTTTTCCCTGATGAGACCCTGGATACTCCCGGCCAGGGTATGGGTGACGGAAGGACACTGGAACATTCTGCAGGGGGATATGGGTGACGAGTAATGATATGAAGCGAGGCAAAGATTGGACGGATAGTAGCGCGGGTAAGGGGAGTCTCCCTCCTCGGAAGTGAAAGTGCCGGGGCTCACGAACCCCACAACTAATTTTTATTGAAGCCGAGAAACCCAACCATTATTAGACTACTGTAGTCAATGGTATGGATTCGGCTTCTATTGCCTGCAGTCAAGAAAAATTATGTTGCGAAAAAGAAGCTCAAATTACTGCGGAAAATGATTACTCCCATGAATGAGGGCTAAGAAACACATCTCAATATCGGCAACAACATGAGAAACGTCCCAAAAAGAGATATCATTGTTGTGCGATATCCCAATAAGCAAAATAAACATGTGGTAGAATCTGGGGAAGCTGCTGCTGCCTGCTCCCACCTCGTACCTACATCCATATTTTTTGGTAGGAGGGGAGAGAGGTCATTTTCGCGGCGCCCCAAGCGCCCCAGCGCTGCCGCGGGCTGCGCTACCCACAATGAATGTTCGCCACACCGAGCTGTCGTTTTAATCGTTTTAATACTGCATGGAGGCTTGGAGTGTTGTTGTTTTCTTCGCCATCAGATATGGTAAGACAATAAGACAAAAAGAGAAACAGAGCAGGATGCGACAGCCCAAAAAATAATAATCCGTTTTAGAAAAGTGGCCGACCCCCTGCCCAGAATAAGAAATTGAGGCTCGACCCGATTTGGACGTTTCTTATCTCCCGGCCCTATCTGTACATCCTCTGAAATCATGTATATCTCTTGGCTGTCCACGGCAAAAGGGCCACCCCTCCATTCCACACGAAAAGCAGTATCTGAGTTGGTTCGAACCCACCAAACAAAACAAATTAAACCTGTCTGCACACACCTGGCCCGTGTCATGTCACTTTGACCAGCGTATTAATTGCCATGTGCATGCAGTTTAGCCTTGAAGTTCGTACGCATTTGTGGCTCGTGATGCGATGTACTGCAGCATCACCAACCTACCCCGTATGCATTGTGCGACGAATCGCACCTCTGGCGCAAGAGTAGGGTGGATTTTGCGCTCTGAATGCGGCGCAACTTGCGCGCGGGCATCGTGTAACGGCGAAAGTCCCGTATCAGAATGAGCAATGTACAATGATTGGTCAATTCCAAATTTGTGTAACGGATGTTGAGTGATGACTCTGCGACGGACTGTGATTGGTTCGGGGGTCGGCGCTTATTGGGATGAAAAATGTCTCACTACAGGAGTAGCGGCGCGTGGCCAAAAGATTCACTCCGCTGGTGGGAGTTGAAGCCGTCAGCGCAAGAAGACCATGCGGTGAGCCCTTGAAGAGGGTGGAGGATGGTGTTACTGCTACATTCGTATGCTACATATTGAACCATGACACAAGCTATGATACAAAGCCGTGTTGGGGTTTCCTAAAGAAGTAGGCTTTTCGTGTTGGTTCGGTGCGTTGTCCCCTAAGATTATGCGAGAACCATCTCCATTTTCACACACCGTGACTGTCAAGAACGCCATCAAGGGAGTACATACAGGTGCATACAGCGTCTTTCTGCTCTGTATATATAATTGCCGCATTCATCCTTTGGCGGCACATGTCTGTCCAACGACTGCTCTGTGTTGCTTGTCCCCCTTGTTCAAAGCGCAATCGAAACAACCAACTCTCCCCGTGCCTACGCTAACAGCAATAACCTCTGGCAGCGATGCACATTTGCTTGAACGTCGTGCGAAACAATTCGTCGACATAAGCCATCATTCGCCTTCCGTACACCGTCAACCATGCCACATCGCGCACAATCCGACCGTCGCACACTCGTGATGCTCAAAGGTTGTTGCTATCGTACCATTTGCTTGTCGTGGCATGTCCGTCGATGCCCACATTTTCAGCAATGAAACCTAAAGAACCCCCGTCTCAAACACTCGCATTCTGGAAGACGCACCAATCGTTCTACCAGTTGTACCCTTTACGCCGTGGTTCAAGCGCTCGAGTACGGCAGGACACATTGAACAAACCCAAACGAACATTCACTGTTCTCTTTGCGACACCAGCGAAGCCGACGAACCTTCATGTAACACGCGACCAAACGAATCACAGACAACCCGTTGCACACCAAACCGATCGGCGCGAGCTAGTCGGGCCACCACGTTTGGGGTTGGGAACGACGCCCGTCCTCAACTACCGGCAGTACCCACTTCGGTCTTGATGGCGAGTATCGCAACGGAAGTGCGTCCTCGGACACCTCCTGAGTCGCGCCACCGTCAGGGGGCAGATTTTCTTTCTGGAAGTCCCGAGCTGAAGACGCAACTTGGGCGTATGTGTCGCCCGTTCTGCGCGAATGGAGACGATGCATGCGTCGTTTCCGCTTGAGAACGATGGCTTCTTTATGCTATCGTTTGTTTCGGACGCCTACGCCATAGAAGGGATAACCCCTAACAAAGACGAAATTCTCTTGCAATTTTAGCGGCTACGTGCATGGGGAGCCAACGAGTGCTTCAAAAGTGCATGAGTTGCTGCCGCTGTACGTTGCAAGGGTTCGTGTACATCTTCCGGGGTGAGGATTGATGGCTCGCCCCCCGTGGTGCTCGCCCCCACTCTCTCACTCTTTACTCTCTTCCTACATCTACCAAGACCCTTGGCCTCTTCAGGTTCGTTCGGGACTCTTGCGAGTGTCAGGGCACTCCCTTTCTCCTCCTACCTTTCGGCCAACTAAGCGCCAATCCAAACCATCGTTTCTGGTCTCAACGCAAAGGTACTACAGTCACTCTGTGAGCCTCTGCACACTGTTGCTACATACACAGTGGCCATTGCCAGGGATACACCCACTCAAGTTCACATTCCAACAGGTCATGAGCCTTTCAGGTTCTACACCAACAGGTCTCGAACCCATTCCAACAAACAGCACCACAGATCAGCCGTTGGGTGTATTTCTCCTCCCACATGGTACGTACCGGGGTCACCCCCAAGGTTATTCAAGCGTTCGTCAAAATCAAGAGCTTGTGCTTAGAGCCGTCGGTTGGACGTTCCCCTCGTTGTAAAGCACTGGAAACGTCGGGCGGTCCAGGGGCTCCTGGGCCCAGCAGCTGCGGACCATCTCTGCGATATCTACGGGGGCATCCGCGGGAATCGCGGGGCGTTCCTCACGCATGACAACGCGGAGGAAGATGTCTCGAGGCCGGGTTTGGTCTGCCCAAGGCGTCTGTCTCGTCAGCACTTCCCACGCCACCATCCCGAAGCTGTAGACGTCGCTTGCCTTGGAGGTTTCCTTGGCCTCCAGCACCTTCTCGCGCGCAGATCGAAGAAAACAATGTCAGACACGCAATCACAACGCCGGACAGAAGCTTCTTCGGTCTCAGGCACAGGAGATCATTTTCATGCGAATCGCAACTTGCGGTAGGAAGTACACCTTCAGCGCTTAAGGCCTTGCAATATGCAGTTCCCGCGAGGATCGGTGAGTCGCCGGAGGGCATCAAGGAGGGAACAGCGCCGGGAATTTGCCAATTGGTCCACTTCGGATGGGAGCGCACCCGACTTAGCACCGCCCATGCAGAACTACAATAGGAACCTCCCTCACTGCTCGTGCAGTCGGTGTTGACACCGCGGAGGCACTGCCATTTGTTTTTAAGCACAACCTTGGTTCGGGATGGCGCTGGTGATGTGTGCTTGGCAACGCATAGAAGAAAGACATCCGCTACCTGTACGTTAGTTGCACAACCATCGACGGCCACTCAGCATGCCCCATGTGGTTTCGCACTTGGGTGTGCCAAAGTTCTTTGATAGGGTAGTCAACTCCTGTTGGCGTCAGACTGATCTTATCGTGAAAATTACGTTCGAAATCCCTCGAACCGTCGTCGTGACGTACACAACCAGCCGGTTAGGCGCGGGGCAGCGCCAAGAATGTTGACTTTTCATCTACAAGTGGGTATGGAGACAATGGTGCAGAATTTGAGCGGCAGCACCTACAGCCGTTGGTACAAGTTTGTGTTTCTTGCTCGCCACTGCACCATACGAGACAACAGTTGTCATTTGTTTTGTTCTCCGATGGAGAAGACGAACAGCGAGAGAACGACGTCCAAGGCGACAGAGGCGTCGAGTTTCCAAACTCAAACAGTTTTGCTAAATCGCCAACGTACGCAAGTTGGCTGACAAGATGCAAGTCTTCCGAAGCCCTCAAATATGCTGGAGACTTCAACAACTCAGTCCACATCCATCCATGCATGTTGCTTGAGGTCTTGCCTAGACACTCAACGACGCGTAACGCTTTGCGGGTAGTTTCGAGAGTACGCCGTTTGGTCTAGATTTCTCCGCATGTATCACATGATGTCATCAACTGCAAGCAGTGCGGGAATTTAGCTGAAGTGCATCTCAACCACTATGGTTAGACTAGACAGCGTGCATTCGTTCACTTCACAGGCGTGTTCGGTATTCTTCCAGATCAACCGAGGCTCATACCCCGCACCTCGGCCTTGTTGATACTAACCGTGCAAGCCCAGCAAAGAGAGCGAAAGAAACCCAGGCCGTCTCCTTACCTCTGGGGCAGTCCATGCAAGGCTGATATGGGTGCTTGGTCCCGGATTCGTGGTGTACGTCGCGAGCCCTGTGGATCTCTCGGTGTTCTGAGCCCACCTCGAGGTGCCGAAGTCCCCAATCTGGCGGGATGACACGACAAGCCAGCAGGATACACAACCATGTTTGTATATTTTGTGGGCGATATTGTTGGTTTAAACAGTACTTACTGTGACAAAGGAACTCATGTTCAAATGCACGGAAAGGTGAGGAACTGGGTACAGTCGGCTCTTTCTTCGGCCGAATAAATTCAACACCATCACCACCGACAAACAACTAAATACATGGGAGCCATCCTGTAGCGCCAGGTGTAGGCAAAGGGGATGCGTGTTAATCGTCAGATCCGCAGCGACAGGAACGCGGGTTACGTTCACAACCTTTGCACAGCCAGCCAGGAAAATAACCAGCGCGGGAATACGACACGATCTACAAGAAGCACAAGACAACCCCCAGACATCCAACTTGCCTTTGCCCTTCCGCGGCCATCCAGGAGAACATTGGCAGACTTAAGGTCGCCATGCACCGTCGCCTTGCTGTGCAGGAAGGCCATCCCCGCGCACACATCGTGAATGATCTGTCGGCACTTGTCCTCGGGAAGCGGCTGCTCTGAGTTCTTCAGCATGGCCCGAAGGTCTCCGCCCGCCAGCAGCTCCATGACGAGAACCAGGCGGTTTGGCTGCGAGGTGATCGCCCCGTACACGTTGACGGTATGAGGATTTCTCAGGCGAATCATGGCCTCCAGTTCGCGCAGGAATGCCTTGCGCTCGGCCTTCTCCAGCAGTTCATTAGACTCTACCATCCTCGGCCCACTCAGTGGTATGTCGTTCTCTGCCGGTTTGCCGAGGCCGTGGGTGATGTGTTGTACCTGTATAGTTCAGCGATACCGACGTCGACAAGAACACGAAATCGAATCAGACAGAGCACGACAGCGGGAAACGAAAAAGGGCTGAAAAATGACTCCTGCCCGTCGTTGAGAGCTGATCCTTCCGGTCCCCAGGCAGGCCTTACTCGGTCGGTCGCGCGGCGGTACTACAATATTCGCAGATACTTCGGTCTACCGGTCGAGAATGACTTTCTCGCACCTTGGCCGCCGCGTTGTGACCGTTGTAGTCGGCTAGGTACACCACGCCAAAGCCCCCTTTTCCCAGCATCTCGTTCGTGATCGACACGTGGTCCTCGGGGATTTCGTTCTGATCGAGCTTGCGCCGCCGCCTCAGCCTGCGGGCTTCCGCCACAGATTCTGCCTGATCCTGAGCCTCCGCCGTTGACCTCTGGATATAGAGACGCACGAAAAACCACCAAGGGGCACATGGCCAAACAAAAAACGCCCAAAAGCTGCTTGACTGAACCCTCCCGACCACAGAAGCGATCCGGTCAAAAGGTGAGGCGAGTAGGTGAAAGAGGTGGAAACCGGGTGCCCTCGAGAGGGCCCCGTACATGGCTACCGGGTTCCAGGGGGGGCTATGAGCAAGCCCGGCTTGACCCGAGTTTAGTACAAGCCATCGAGGCACGCCTGCGGCGGGCTACAGCAGCAGCAGCGTTGGAGATCGATATAGAGTTCGCTTCATCTACGTGCCCACGCCCTCACCTTGACAAGGTGCGCAACGTCGTGTCCCACCTGCACCTGCAGGCCCAACTGGGAGACACCAAGCAGCCAACATGGAAAAAGGCAGGCGGTAAGGCGAAACAATAGAGTCCTATCTGCCTGTACAGTTCGGTCGACGTGAGCAGCGCTATGAGGCAACGCAATGTTCGTTCGATTGCAGCCGTACCCGACCCCTCTACAAGGGCTTCCCATTTGGTGTACCCAGCGTTGCCGAAGAAAACATCTTGTTTCTGAAACGGATAATAAAGTCCCCAAACCCAACATGGACATTTCAAAGCAATGAACGGCATGCACAGAGCGAACCCTAGGAAGAAGCTAGCCATAAGAGAGACAACAACGCATGTATTACCGCAGCTGGCTACCCAGTCGAGGCACAATCCGAACTAAATATGATGGCACTCACGTGCAGGCCCCAGATGGCCCTGTCCAGAACCGCGTTCAGCTCGTCCTGGCGCCGCTTGAACAGGGTCGATGTCAACATCTGGGCGAGCTTGCTCTTGTTCTCGTACGTTTTGATCAGCTCCACGAGATCGGAGACGGCGCCGTGCACTTCTTCCATCAAAACGCGCCCCTCCTCCGTGCTCGTGTCGCCACCCTACATGTACGCAGTGACATAGCAGTATGCATACGAGATGTATACAATGATTAATCGAACGCTAACGTTTGCACATCGGAGAAATCAACGTGCTTGCCTTCGCACACATCACACTGCTGTCGCATAGCAGGAGAGAGGAGAGCCGTGGGGGTCCTGTGGGCGTCGCCTCAACAAAGACTCAAAAGCAAAGCACTGTCGCCAAATGGCACGCGTTCCTACACCTACTACACACCTTTTTGCAATTCATGACTCCAAATCTGGCCAAAAATATATATCAAGAAGAAACGCTTCTAATCTGATCAAATGACCTGCTCCTTGTTTCTTTTGACATGTTATGAAAAACAAAACAATTCAAAATATGTAACAGCACAAACACAAGGCGTACGAGTACAGACCACGAATTGGCCCAACCTATCGAATCTGTGGTGAAATGTAGGCATGCGTTCCGGACAAAGACGGCAAAACCTTTCATGAGACACAAACCGCAAGTTTCGGAGTTCTAAGGCAAAAACGAAAGTCAAAAGAAAAACGACACCACGAGGCAGTGAAATGCCTCGACTTCTCATTGTGGCGGAGACAACTGCGCGATTCTGCAGGAACAACAGAACGAGACCGCGTGACAGATCTTTGGTCGTACTTGTACCTGAAAAGTCCAATATGTATGCCAAGAAGGAAGCTGGTCTCCAACATCCTCGACGTCTCTAAATCAGGAAGGATACACAAGTCATGCCACTCACCGTGCCGACCACCTTGGCGGCCCGCTGAAGCATTGTCACGATCGACCGGCACCGCTTAACACCGGGGCTGCTCGTCAAGTCCCGACTGTCCAAGACCAAGCGTATCAGAATCGACACCGCCGTCGCTGCCTCACAGACGCCGGGGATCTGGCAATTATGTACGAGTTCCTCTGCCGCCGCCAGTACTGCCTGGCCGTACCCGATGCCGCATGACGTCCGTCGGCGGCCGCCGGCAGGAGCAGCCGCAGGAGAAGGAGCAGCCGCCGAAGGAGCGCTGTCGCCCTTTCCCTCGGCCGAAAACCTCAACCCGGCAACCTCGGCCGTCCGTTCTTCCGTCGACATGTCGGCGGTGGAGTTCGTTGTTGTCAACGACAGCAACGACTGTTCGGCTGCCGCCACGCAGCCGCCGCCGTTTTCCGCCGCATCGTCCCCGCCCCGGCCCCGGCCCGAATCCGCTGCCCTGGTGCCACCACCGCTTTTGTTTTTGTCGCGTGTTCGGCGCCTGGGATTTTCCTCGGACTTCGGCAGGGCGCCCACGGGTGGCGCTGGGAACAACGATTGGATGGGCGTGCAGTCTTCGCCGAATGTTGTCTCGGCGACGACTGCCGCGTGCTGCTGACTGGCGGCAGGTGGCCGAGCATCGCGCTGGTGCGTACCTCTGTCGTGCATGTTCGGGGATAGAGGCCGAGCATCACGCTGGTCTGCACCATCATGCGCATTCGGTGGGGGTGGCGGCGGGGAGTCTTGCTGGGTAGGAGGTGGCGGGCCGCGGGTGGCGTTGCCCCCGGCAGACCCGGTGATGATCGGCGACGAGGAGTGCATGTCCTGCTGCCGTTGCTGGTGCTGTTCACCGAGGCCGTGCTTCAGGCTCTCCCCAGCGTAGTAACGAGGGGCCGAGGGGTCGGGGCCCGTGCTCTTCGCGACCCGTCTGCGACGTAGGAAGAACCCCAGTGCTGCTAACGCCAGCGCACCAGCCACAACGCCGACTACAACGCCCGCCGTCGAAGCGTCTCCTTGGTCAGGACGAGCAGCAGAGTTGCAGCGATGAGCGTTGATGGAGGCGGGACTCCGACAGGCAACGGTTGGTAGCAGGACAAGGACTTTTCGAAGCATCAACCCGAAGCATTTCAGGGCTAGTCTTTGCGACCCCTCCGTCACGTAACGCAAGACTGCACGTACAATGTATGCGTGTACGCACTTTCCGATTTTTTCAAAAATGTGCCTGGAACTTTGGAAGGGTCGATGGCAACCGGGGAGGGCCATTTAATCCGAAAAATACTCAACGCCGTAGTTCTTGTTTTTGACACTTCGGCATGCCCCAGTTGAACAGGAGATGCGGCATCAATTCTCTTACCTTCTGAGCTCGAGCCGGGTACCGAGGTAGGGTGTGGGGTAGATTCCGGCGCGGTCGTGCCCAGTGCAGGTGCAGGCGCGGGAGCAAGTGTGACCGCTGCCGCGAGATACCAGGAAGGCGGGCATTGAAGGATTTACTTCGGTTGGACACGCGAGAGCTTCACCACTTACTCATGCTTCACCTTACCCCAAGCCGGAGGGGCGGGAAGGCAAGCCCACAAGGGAAAAACGGCAGACGACCTTCCTTGGTGGCATGGAATGCGCGCACTCAATCAGTTGGAAGAACAATCATACTTTCGGAGACATTAGTGCTTGAGGAAGTCTGTCAAGTTATTGAATGGGTCTGGAGGTAAACGGCGGTCGCCAATCTAACCCATGGGATTCCTGCAGGCACATCGGTTCAGGCGCGGTCGCTAGGAGTCATAATAACACAAAATGACGATGTATGTCTTCTTGACGCAGGTCAAACTGCCTTCGTAGGCCATCAGCTGAACCTTCAAAAAAATCATTTCGTAGCAAATGGCGTCTTGGTGCAACCTGAGCATGCTGAAGCAGGGTCGCATCTAGTTCCAAAACATCGAGAAGCACTTGTTGTCGGGGTGAATCTATGGATATTGGACAGTATCTGTCCGTCGAGTGCCCAGGCCCCTCGATGAAGAGGATGGACCTGAACGAAAATCTTCCATGCTTTGCGGGCCTGTATTCTCTCACCACATGTGTACCCTTCATCTCCGGGAGTGCACGCTTCTTGGCCGCACACGTTGTCGATCACGCCCTCAATAGAACACCCTGCAAAAGTTCAAAGCACATCAGTGCGCGGGGGCACATCGCAAGTAATTGCATATGGAGGTACAAACGCTAGCAATGCTTGGGGAAAACGATGACAACACATCTCGCCCAAAATTGAGCATGCCTACTATACATCCATCCCTTGCCCGATGGCGACCTTCGAACCAGTCTCGGGCAGAGGTTTTGATATGCAACTGTGCACTTTTGCACAGCGTAAGAGCCGTCGAATAGTACGGAACAGCCTCGTTCGGGCTAAATAAACACAGGAGCTCCCTTCGATCGTCGTCTTGACTTCAAGCGTTGGCCGCGACTGAATCAGAATGTAGACCCATCGCGGACCGTTTTGCCATGCATCCTCTTCACGGTGTAGTCTGGGCGTGGTACGGCCGTCCGCCGTTCACAGCTATCCGGAAGGCAAGAGGAAGCGAGTGATCGATGTACAATATCTGGACCAAGGAGCGACGCCAAACGATGTTTCGCTGGACCTGTGTGCCGCTCACTACGAACGGTCGCTGCGGGATGCCTCGGTTGGGAATGGAGCGCAAGCCAACACCCCATGCAAACTGCTACTGGGCACCCGCATCGAAAAAGCTGCATGATCGACCCGATATACTTCGTGGGGCAGACTGCGAGGCAACACTATCAGCAAGGTACCTGTGAGCCCGAAGCCCATCCGTGCACGCTTGTCGGGGAACCACTCACCACATTCGTCACCGTATGGATCAACGTGGAGCCCGATTTCATAGAACGAGGCATAGTCATCAACCTCCACCCTGCGATGTGCGTACAGGAGGTCAAACAGGACGCGCTACACAGTCTAAGCAAATACGGCGGTGTCGATCCACGATGCAATGCATCAACGAACGTGCTCCATGGGTAAAGCACAAGCAAGAAGCATGCCGATAAAACTCTCCTTCCTTTAGGTTGAACCGAAGATGCAAGCACTAATTAGACGTCCTTCGAGCCCACGCGGGGATATCAAAACTCGTTGTGGGCCCGAACAATATGGCCACCGCGATAGCTCAAGCGGCTCGACGAATTCAGTGTTGCGAATCACGTTTCGGTCTACACTAGTAATGCTACAGTAAGACGCATTCGTCCGATATCGCGAGCAGCAGCGAACAACAAAGGTGTGCTTGGTATCTACGTGGTGCTGGCCGGATCCCCCAACGCGTTATACTGTCCAAGTTGTCCTATTGATATGCAATTCCTCATCGATCGGTCAATGCTTTTTGTGCGTTCCTCACAGTGTTGTTGAGGGCAAGCACTCCAGAGCATTTCCGTCCAGATTCCTAAAATTCAGACCCCGACCGAGATTCGCGTCGACCGGACGAGACCGGCAGATGCAACAACGGATCAAACGATGTGAAATGAACAACAAGGTTAGAACGGTTGCCACTAACGATAGAAATAGTTGTTCGTGGGGAGCCTTCGCCAAACATTGCCACAAATCATGACCGCAGCCCCACGCCTATGAGGGTCGAGGTAGAGCGAAAATGGTAGTACAAGTCGATATTCCTCTATTCTCATGGCTTGCCTGGGGGCAAATCGATAGACCTCTCCTGAGATAATTATAGAATCTCACCAAGGAAAGAGAAAACTTTCAGCAAAACCGAAGGGGCTTGAGAAAGCATTGTACAACTCTAACCCAAAAGGCGGGCCATGTCGGGAAACTGAGCGTTTGCCCGCTACCTTGGGACAATGTATGCATACATCTACAATGATTCCCGACAAGCGTGAAGTTAGACCACATTTCCTGGATTTTCAGGTGTTCGTTTTGTGCTGGCGAAGCAGCAAAGGGGTCTACCAGAGAACCGGCAGGTTGGGGTCATATGCCAAGTACACTGAGATTAGGAAAGCACAAGTATGGGCGTGATCTCATGCCGAATGCAGCAGGCCTCAAGTGTATTTGGCACGTACGTCGTAGGCTACAACGACGAGGATACAAGAGATATGAGAGGTAGCGCCTGCGCGAAGTATCATGTGAACCAAAATCGCAAAATCAACTTCTCGCGCAGGACGTTGAACCTTGCCTCTGAAGCTCCCAAATGCGAACGGAACATGATAACACGAAAACCACGGACTGTCATGTGATATTAGCAGCCCACTCAGTATCTGGGTGAGACTAGAGTGTGAAGTTGAGAAATTTCATAAGAGGGCCACTCTCAACCAACGGAGCCAACGATCAATCATGTCAGCACCAAATGGTGTCCGAACTGCATCAGTTACCCGTTCTAGGTGCGCTGCTTTACATCATCTTTGACGCCAGGTTAGAGCAAGGGGGTTGACTTGAACATAGCAAACTCTCGCCGACTTCGACAGTCGCGCTGCAATGGTACTCTCCCCAGCATCTACCTACCACTCGTTCGACATACACATTCTCTCTTGCAAAGAAAATTGTGAACACATGCACCGACTGCAGTTCTGCAAACCGGGAAAACGTTTGGTGCTTTATTTTCTCTAGCGCGGGCTGAGCCCATGCGGAAAACGATTCTATCGACAACCATGTCGAGCAACTACTTACAGATATTCCAACCCCGTAAGACCTCCGAAGATTCCCTCCGGCAGCGTGGTGAGGTTGTTGTACGTCAGCCACCTTCGAGTGTCAAGGCAAGGCAACGACAAGGTAGCATTTGCTAATGCACGGACGACGTACGAATGCTTTCGTAGAGTAACGGAATGTTTCGGCCGCGTTATGACATGCCAAAATATTGTTCGGACAGACGGAGACGATGATTGGTCAAGACCACTGCATACACAGCGACCTTTTACTTGCCGTACTACGGCAGTATCACCTGAGCATCCCCCGCAGTGAGAAGGTACATGTCACGGGGAAAACAAGCCTGGCGCGTCCTGGCGCGTCCTCGAAATTAGAAGGATGTCTTTGCACACCAAAACAAAGCCCAAGGGGTTAGTCTAAACGTTCCCAGGGAAAGACAAAACTGGAGTGTTTAGGGGTGTTGGTGTTGTTTGTCCAATTTGCCTCACACACACAGTTCAGCGCATTTCGAGGCAAAATTGGGTACTTTCATATTTGACAAACCACCAATATAGCGTTGCTCCAACCTCAGCAGAGGAGAGGAAACCTTTACCCATAAAAGAACTCTTGGTGTACGGTCGGTACGATACATGGAGCACTGGGAGTTGGCATACGTGAGATGCGATGATTAGGGAGTTGCGGAGCCCCACGTGCCTTGGGCTCTCCAACTCACCTCTGCCTCGGGCTCCGGGTATGTCAACACGGCTGTGCCCTAGATGATGGAAGCACGCTTACGTATACCCACAAGGAACGGCCGTTAGGGTTAACGCCTGGTCACCCGCCGAATACTCGAAGAACCCCCCGGGCGCTCCCAAAGGTAGGGATATGCCGTTTATTATGTGCCGGCGATAATTCTTTGGAGGGTGGGGTCTCGTGGTTCGGAGGTTCTCGAAGGGATACTGCATCGTCCTACCGACCACGGGCGCACTGAACGCCACCTCTGACGGCTTACTAGACCACGGGGGCTGATATTTTATATACCAAGCCCGGCCGACTTCCACAGTACATATCGCGGCTAGCGCCATAGCACAGACCAGTGCGCAGGCGGAGTTCATGCGGAAAACCATCCTACCGACGACCATGTCGAACAACTACTTACAGATATCCCAAGGCCGTAAGACCTCCGAAGATTCCCTCGGGCAAGGTGGTGAGCTGGTTGCCATACAGGGACCTTTGGGTGTCGAGGGAAGGTCACGAGCGAAGCAGAGAAAACATATGACCTAGGAATAAGTGCTTGCTGCCGCACATGGTGATCTACAAGGCGCGGGCAGCCCACCAATATGTTCACTTGACGTTCTGTGGCGCTATTATAGCAAAGTCACGGACGACGCCGCCGCGCGACGACCTCGATACAATCATACTCATCATACCATTCCCACTACAGCAGTTGAGGCGACTGAGTTGGCCGTCGTAACCCACTCCAGGGTCAGGATTGCGTTTACCGCGGATCGGATACGGGCACCACAATGTGAAAGGTCTACCGCCAATTCCAGGAAGCGACAACTGATCCCGTTACGTGATATGATGCTTGGGTACTCACGTTTCTAGCCACGCCGAGATCGCCGCCTTCTCTCGATCACCTCAACAAACGCTTACATCCGATGGGTATTCTCGCAAAATGCCCAAATGAACGCACATTCAAATCGAACTTGACCGACCCCGTGTGATGACAGATACAACCATCCCAGCACAAGCTTCGAGAGGGTGCAGCGGCTGGGGGTAGACGCGATAACCGCAGCGAGACTACGGTGCATAGGTTGGAACTGGTCTTGGGCACCCCGACTTGTGCTACACCGAAACTCCTATCAGCTGATTTCCGGCGCCCACTTTTGGGGTGTAATGGTTCATGAGCACAAATGGTCTGTGGCGTTTGGTTTTCTCCTCGCAGGCTCACCCCTTACGGAAAAGCATCCCTCCGACAACCATGTCGAACAACTACTTACAGTTGTTGAAGGGCCGTTGCATTCTGAAAGATTCCCTCAGGCAAGGTGGTTAGCTCGTTGTGCCAAAGGTACCTGTGGATGTCGAGGGAAGGCCACAAGCGAAGCAGAGAACACACATGAGCTAGCAGTCAGTGCTTGCTGCCGCCCATGGTGAGCTACAAGACGTGGCCAGCCCACCAACATGCGCAGACGACGTTCTGTGGCACTATCATAGCAATGACCTGGGTACAACCCACACCGAAATTCCTACCAGTTTCTTTCTGGCGCACTCGTTGGGGCTCAATGGTTCAGGGGAACGATTGGTCTGTGGTCTTTGTGTTCTCCATCGCAGGCTAACTCGACACGGAAAAAGCACCCTACCGGCAACCATGTCGAACTTTTACTTACAGAATTTCCATGGCCGAAAGACCCCCGAAGATTCCCTCGGGTAAGGTGGTGAGCTCGTTTTCAACCAGGGACCTTTGGGTGTCGAGGGAAGGCCACGAGCGGAGCAGAGAATACGCACGAGCTAGAAATCAGTGCTTGCTGCGTCCCATGGTGATCGACAAGGCGCGGCCAGCCCACCAACATGCACAACCGGCGTTCTGTGCCACTAGCAAACTCAGACCAATCATAACCTATTCCCACAGACGGCTGAGGCGACCAAGATGGCCGTGGTATCCAGTTCCAGCGTTGCATTGCATACGCCACGGATCGGGCAAGAGGTTAACGTACGAGGCCAGTAAGGGCAGCATCATGTGAAAGATCTACCACAAATTCCAGGAAACGACGGCCTGTCCGGTTATGCATTGTGACGTTTGGGTATTCGCGTTTCTAGTCACGCCGAGATCGCCTCTGTCTCTCGCTCACCTCAACAACTGCTTACATCCGATGGATATACCGGAAAAATGTCCGAATGAGCCCATCTTCAAATCGAATTAGGCAGAATCATGTATCCCAACGCAAGGTTCGAGACAGTGCACCAGTGGGGTAGAGGTGATAACCGCAGCGAAACTAAGATGCGTAGGTTGGAGCTGGTCTTGGGATACCCCCACCTGTTGTTCTACATCGGAATTCCTACCAACTGATTTCTAGCCCGCTCGTTGGGGCATAATGGTTCACGGGCACGATTGATGTATCGTGGTTGTTGTTTACGTGAGAATAATGTGCCTTGTAGCTCGACTGTACGCTCACTTCAAGCCGACTTAGAGGGTGGCATCAGTACAGCACCTTGAAAAGGCCACTTCGGACAAATGTGTCAAGCCTTTGGTCAACACCCACCCACTCGTATCGCAAGTCATGGCATAATGATGCACTCACAGAGATGTGATTGTTTCTGGTCCGGCAGCTTCCAAGCATGACGCTAGATCGTCCAAATCGGCATCTGTGATGCCGCACGAACCAAGGGCCCTGGGATAAGATCGTACGCACCAAACGGCGGGTCAAGTCTTGCTACGGTTGTGGTGCGACGGCATTGTTCCACAGGAAGCGCGAGAACACACGGAACACGCGTGAATGAATACTTCGCCAAATGCCCTGAACTCAAAGTGCTGCCAACGTTTCTCGACCAACGGGTACTGGACGTTCGCTTTAAGCACCACCCATCGTGGGGGGAGTTTTAACGAAAAATTTGCAAAATTCCACCCTGCAAGGTAACTCAATCGTTCTGCAACGAGCCACACCGAGTACCAACGGGTGCCTTGTCAACCACCATGAAATATGTGGGGTCTTGGAGAGCAACATCATTATATTCGGTGGGGGCTCACAAACTTCCAGCATCAGTTTGACATTTGTTGACGTCGGTGGAGTCCAGGCATTCATTAACTGCAACCAACGGTGGACGCAGGACAGACAGCAGATGGGATGAGATTAGAGGGCAATTGGTAAGATTGGCACAGAAAAGCCTATGCTAGTGGAACAGCCGTATCAGAACTGTATATTGCCGAGTTAACAGTGGACCAGGGCACCGCACTGGGATGTTCCACGACAGAGGAATATACCCGAGTACGACACAACCGAAAAAGCGAGCTCGAAAAAACTGGTACCGACGCGGCAAGTTCTCCGTGTAGGAAATGAGGGGGAACAGCCAACTTATCCAGTCGACTAACCATGGACCGGAGCCTCCACAACCAATGCCGGGGTGGCAGTTCGAGGCATAGAACAAGGCATAGACCAAGTCCCGATGACGTCGGCCCATGAACACGGTAGGGTAAACATCGAGCTGACGCTCTCTCTGAACGATGGAAATTGTTTCCATTTCGTGGAAATCAAGGTTGTTTAAGTCAACTGGTCTAAGGCAGTAAGTCTAGCAACGCTGTGTCGTCAAAGTGAAGAGGCTATAGCGTTCGGACCCCATGCGCTACACCTTCCTTTACACATGTGGAACCCTTCAAATAGGGAAAATCCCAAATTGAGGGATCGGCCGAGGTAGAACACAGATCCCGTTCTAAAAGGGGCATATCGATGTGAGTCTGAACGTCGCCAAATGACTGCTGCAAGGACATATCACGCGACTCCACAAACTCTGCTGCGTGAGATCGATTCCTCCGAAACAGGATCAAATATCGCTATTCGCAAAATGTTTCACACCGATCCAGCACACCTACCTGCGGCAACCAAAATTGTCCTACGAAGGAAATATTTGCCTATTGCAAGAAAAGCGGTCACTCTTGTCAATAACTTCTTCTGGGGGAAACTGCAATCTCCCTCACTACTGGTAGGCAGTTCTGCTAAACCGCCAATGGGCAGCCCATGGGCTGCCCATGGGCACTTCATAGACTCCCCATGAGCTGACCACCGTGGGCACTTCAACCTAGAACTTCGCCACTGGCTTATTAACCTAGAACTTAGCCTCCCAAGGCGAACCTAGCACGTATCGCGTGGGCTTGGGGTTAGAGTTAGGGCTATTAGCCGTAATAAGGCCCTTCCAAAACAGATTTTGTTGTAGTGCACTGGTTCCGTTGAAGGGCATTCATTGACGGTTCATGGGCTGCCCATGAACCACGGGCAGCCCATGAACCGTCCACGAAGTTCCCACCATGGAGTGCCCATGTTCGACCCGTGGGTTGTCCATGGGCAGCCCATGGGGCACGCACGGGCTGCCCATGGGTGCTCCATGGACGGTTGAGCAAAACCACCGCAAGGTGTGGGAGACCCGTCCTGTAAGGGGGTGTGGAGCCGCACACGATTGTGATTTCGCACTAACCAACTAAACAACCGGGGCAGTCGGCAACTCGCTACTCGACGAGGTGAACATACTTAATGAGATCACACGCCACACTGCTGTAAGTCCTGTGTTTGCAAGCGAATAACCCCCCCCCGTTCGGTGTCTACCTGCCTTCGCAAGCATCGAATCAACGTTGCGTACCACCAGCGTATTGGATCAAAATACCGCTATTCTACTTTGTGTCGCGGAACAAAGTTGGAGAAGCTGCGGTATGGTGTTGACCACCGAGAGGAGTTGACCGTGGTGAAAACACGTATTCACATATCCATCGATCGATGGTGTTCCCCAATGTTGCTCGAACCCACCCACCCGCCCACCTGCGGAGGTATCCAACAACGCGGAGAGCCCCAGCAGAAGGATCATGAGCACCTCCAACATTCTCGCACACCGTGTCCATGATGACAGAAAAGATGAGCTGCACGTATCGGGAAAGGACGTCCGGTTGCCGCGAGCAGGTGGGACAGAATAACCAGTATAGATACGAATGTGAGAACAGAAGCGGAAGGTTGAACGGAAAGCATCACAAGAAAGCTCCAAAGATCCCGGAAGATGGGAATACGTGCAGAAAGCGAGATGTGAGAGCCGACATGATGTGAAAGCCGAGAGATAGGCTAGTGTATGAGAGGGGAGAGAGAGAATGGCATGCAATGTGATGTGTGGATGGATGGATGGGGGAGCAGAGGAGAGGGGCGAAAAGGTTACGCCAGCGAGCGACAGAGATTGAGAAATCATACATGAGAGGAGAGCGGAGAAATGACAACAAAGCGACCACGGAATCTTAACATGTACAACGTACGTACCCCGGCATGTGAGGGCCGAGAGACAGAGCGGGTGAGTAAAACAAGAGAGAGACTAGCATAGAATGCGATACGTCGTGGATGGGGAGTAGAGGAAAGGGGTGACCGGGAGAGACCGAGCCAGACCCGAGTGAGGCAGACGCATAATAACGAGAAAACATACAAGCGTCAAGAAAGCAGAATAATAAAGAAGCGCATGAAAGATGTCGAAGATCCCGGAGAGACGAACATGCAGCTCTGTGAGAGCCCGAGAGAGAGCCGAAATGGAGCGCTCGAGATAATTTTCCAGCGGGCTCCCAGTGAATCAATAAAACGAAAGATTGTTATGTAGACTTTGATTGCGGGCATCACCGGGCGCGCGCGTGTGTTCGGTTGCTGCGTGGAAGCAGTGTATCAGTGTATCTCGCACAGCGTCGCAAACAGAGTTCTGGAACATATTGAGTCGTGGCCCGTGGCTCTTTTTCCCCACCCTATGTACTACTGCACAGCAGTGTTGGGTTTAGTGAAACAGTATTTTCCGTTGAGACAAGTTGAGATGACAAGCGATTTTTTAAGTGACAGTTTGCCTGTCGTTTTCGAAAAATAATGAACGGGAACCCGGTAGTCACACGCAAGATATGCATACACCAGGCCAGTACACTAGGGAGGCACTGGTCAAGGCACCAAAAGTTGTTTGTCACGCAGAGAAGCGTTGCGGGCTTGCCCTTCCACGAATATCTCTTCCATCCCCCGCCAGGAGCTCCCTCAGAGGAGACTTCTTCCGCCCCCCACGGTCGAGGCGAGGCTAACATAGACATGTACATACCTGGTCTGCAGCAGTACCCCCCACCCTTCACACACCTTTTTCTATTCTTTTGTTACACCTGTACACTATAATATTCGACACAATAAATCCATCTCTACACAGGAGAAATAGTCTACAGTCTAAAGTCTGTGTCTCGTAGTGTTGAGTAGCTTTGTGCGTGGGTGCCTCGGCGCGGGGTCCCGTAGTGGGAAACAAAAGGTGCCAGCAGCTGGGTACTGCCAACGGTCAAAATGTAGAAACTATCCGCGGGCGTGAAAGCCCTTCTACGTGGTGGAGCGTGGAAGCTCGTGTATAATATAGTTGTGGCGTGGAAGCCGGGTGGCGTGGTGGCCCTGATGTAAAGGTATATGTAGGGACGTGGGAGTCCTGAAGGCGTGGAAGCCGGGTTGGCGTGATAGCCGGAGTATGGGCGTGGAAGCCGGGGTTGGCGTGAGAGCCGGAAAAAGGACTTGATTATACACAGAAAAAGGAAGTGAGGAACCACAAGCCACGCACACAAATTCCGTTGTAGACACCCATACCCTCAAACCTGCAATATGTGATAAAGTTGGTACCACCAAATCTAATCCATAGCAACCATTGAACCCCCAAACTCCCCGCTCCATCTGCTCGGGAAATTCTTGCTCGCAATAATCTGTTGATGCTGTGAGTACATCCAACACGTAGATTGGCAAAGAATCCGTAGAGCGCCGGCGGAACTATTACCTGAATTTCTCCCTGTTTTCACGTGTTGATCCCTCGCTGGTGGCGCCTGGTTGTTGTGGCGTCGTGGTTTCAGCATATAGGCGTAGGCGAGCTTCAGCCGGC